ATGGGCAATTCAGTTCTTGCTTGTCCAAACAACCCAAACAAGCGGTTCAAAGCTTGGGTTTCAAAAAAGTCTCAGACATGTCTTGACCTGTCCAAACAATATTTCAAAGGTTGGGTTTCAAAAAAAAACGCAGACCAAGCTGCAGCGTTGGAGAACATGGTCTCACCGCAGGCGGTGGGCTGCAGCTTGCAGCCCACCTCGTCATGCACGTGTCCGAAGCAATGCAGCGACGGCGCCACCTCGTGGACCCGCTGCAGCAGGGCGCGGCAGCCCCAGTGGTAGTACTTGCCATCCTGGGCCACAGGTGTTTGGGGTTGGTATGAAGACCAAGATCGAGATGTGAGAAAGCATGAAGAAAGAAAGAAAGAAAGAAAGAAAGAAAGAAAGAAAGAAAGAAAGAAAGATACTCTTGAATCCTAACCGTCTCACCACCTCCTTCCCTCGGTCTTTACATTCTGGATTAATCTCCGTCAGAACTTTGCCTCCCAACCGTTGCTTCCGAAGACTAAGGGAAGCGGTTGGAGGTGGGAGAAGTCAATAAGAATGTAACCCAAATGATCCAAACTATACAATCCGAAGTAAAATAATTTTGGTTACATGGAATGAAGACATGTGGAAAGGCACAGAAATGCAATGAAACATGCAGGATTCTTTCATTAGAGATATCCCTGGATCTGGAGTATAGGGAATCATCTTTATAATGGTAAAAGAGGTTGGGTGAGGGAGTGTACATGAGAGCTAAAGGGACGGAGTTGTGATGGAGAGGATTCTAGTTCTTGTTCCTTTGGTCACATTCTGGTAATTCCTACATCTTATCACCCATTATCTCCGTTCCATTCGATGATTGTTGAGGGGGATTTCGGGTTCTACCCTATGAGTACTTGGCGAATTTGCTTCAGTCTTGATGTCCACTTGATTTGCTGGTTGGAAGGGAGCCATTACTTAGGGGGGTATCCATCAGAGCCGGACGGGCTTGCCTCTAGACACACACACGCTCATGTATCAACTCCTCCAGTCAGAATGCAGCCAAACCTCAGAAAGGTTCTCAAACTGGCTCCATTTCTGAAACCGCGTCCCACGAAATCCCAGCCAAAACCCGGGGTCCGGGGTCTGTCCTTTTTGAGCAACACCCCCCCCAATTCTTGGCGTTTCCAAGGCCCGGCGAGGTTTCAGCGCGAATTTGGCCCAGGCGGCTGGCTGCCAGGCGAGGTCGTAGATCTTGTAGGGCGGCATGTGAGTCACCTCAGAGCTCCGAACAGCGGATCTGCCGAATGCGAGAAACCAACTCTGGATGAACCAGTGGCAACGAACTTCACCTATGTTCTCCTGGTCCTTTGCATGATTTTGATTGATTTTGTATGTCTCTGTTTGAGGGTTGTTGCTAAAGCAAGCCTGAACCAACCCTCAACCGCCCCCTGAACTCGTGAGTTGTTTCTTTGCTCCTCTTGGTATGGTACCAACAAGCGGTGCTTTTCGCAGCTCCTGCAAAAAATGATCAGAACCGAAAGAAACAACAACAACCGACAAAAAAACACAGAACAGAACCCTTGCAAAAACACAAAACCAACAAACCACAAACAGACCCCTGCAAAAACAAAACCGACAGAACCCTTGCAAGACCACAAAACCAACAAACCACAAACAGACCACACATAGGGGAGAGAGAAAAAGAAGAAAACAAAACGCCCCCCCCCCCAAAAAAAAAAAAAGAAAAGAAAAAAAAGCTACCAATTTCCTTGGCTCAGCCGCCAGGATGTCGGTGTCATGCGGGATCCTCTCCCACTTCCGCGCACGCTGCTCCTCGCTGGTGGCCGCCCAGGCCATGGTGCAGGCGGTCCAGGGGCTGCCTCGGCCCGGGGCCCCTCCCCTCCCCACGCGCTCCCTCCCCCCCACTCCCCCCCCGGAACTTCAGAAAAAAGGAAAACCTCAGGGAAAAATTGGGTTTATTATTTGGGGAATGTGTTCTTTTTGGTGGATGGACTTGCAATGCTGGATGTTAAATTGTCTTGCTGGTGCTCAGCAGGGAATTTAAGAAAAACCTCAGGGAGAGTTCGATTTGATTATTTGAATGTGTGTTTTGGGCTGGGCCACGCCGATCACCAATAAACCGGGATAAAGCCACAAGAGCGTGGTTCTGGTCCAAGGCTTCCCGAAGGAAGCGAACCCCGAGGTAGGGTGAAACACCGGGGCGTGTTGTGACTATTCGCCTGTGTCCGTGTTTGCTATTTATTTATACGACATTTGCTGCCATGCTGGATGTTGAATTGTCTTGCTGGTGCGATAGGCAGGGAATGAGTGGAATTCCCCCTAACAAAACTATGTTGTGGCTTCCTTTCAGTGAATCCCCAAACGATTCATTCCCAACACCGGGACTCGGACAGTCATTCCCGACCTATCGCACCGGCAAGTTGAACCCCAGATCCAAGCTGGCAGGTGTCGGCCTGACTGAAGGGGAAGACGGCTTGCAGGCAAGTAAGTCAGGGAAAAGGGCCATGGCCGTCTTCTCAAATCGAAGTTGAGAACACCTTGAGCTCAAGCCAAGGAACCATAGATCTTGATCCCCTCGATCGTGACGCTCTCATCCTCAGACTGCGGGCGATTTTTTTGTTTTGACCTCAGTTTAGCAAACATGTCCAGCCATGAACCCAAACAGACTGCCATTCCCTGGTCGCATCTCCGGAAAATAGCTTGGAGCCCCCAGCGCGAGCGACTAGAGCCGCCGAGGCTCCACCAGCAGGAAGCAATTGCTCCCAGGGGTGCAGCCCAGCAACCGTCGCAAGTCCTCAAGGGGAATCTGGTCCAACCCCAGCTCGTGATTTCCCGGCACCAGCACTTTGTAGCGGTGAGGTAGCGATTGAAAGTAGGGCACAAAGTGCTGCACCTCCTGCAGATCCTGCTGCGCGCCATTGTTGGTGAAGTCACCGCTGTGGATCAGAATGTCCCCGTCGGGCACGTCGTAGTTGCGGCAGTGGGTGTCGCTGATGTGCACGATCCGCAGGCTCCGCCCCCCATCGCCTTCTCCCCGAAGCAAGCGGCTCTGCACAGAAGCCCTGAGGGGCTCGCGGCACTTGTGCAGCCGATCCATGGCTGGATGTTGCTTCAGGCCACACCCGAAAGTCTTTGAGACGCCAATCAGCGGCAATTTGGGGGGGTTCTTTCCCTATGCAAATGTCATAGGCCGCTGCGGGAGCATGGAAATCACCATGGAGGAGAGCCTGAACTCCAAGAGATGTGAAAACATATCTTACAATTTGAAATTTGAGAGCGTCTGGTTGCAATGAACCCTCAAATGACCATGGCTACCTTTTCCCATCTAGTGGGAAAGTCATCTTTTGCTGGTTGTCCCTAATGGTCATGTAAAGGACCTTTTAATCAACCCCCGTGCCTCGTGGGTAGGCGTTAAAAGGGAGGGGGCAAGAGGAAAGGAACAAGAGCCACTTTGCATGAAAGCTTGGTGCTTTCACCAAGGCGAACAAAATGCCTAAAATGGTACCCCTTTGTGGAGTAGGCTTCAAGAAATCTTGGAGGGACACCACTCGTTTTGGGGTTGTTTGGTTCTTGAGGTTTGAGGAAACCGTGAGACCAGTGTTGCGGTCCCATTCTTTTACATGCAAGCACCCAAATCCCATCCGAACTGACCCCAGGGACTTCGGGACCAGCATTTTCAGTATTCAGCCAACCTCAAAAGTATTACTTCATAGGCTTTGTGTCAAAATAGGGGAAATCCTTGAATGGGTGATTTCTTTTTGATCAAAGGGGGTGACAAGTACCCTGAAAAACCAGAACACTTCGGAGGAAACCCCAATTCTGCCATGTCCTTACAGGACTGCTGGTAGCTCCTTAGCGACTCCCTTCATTTTGGCTTCCCTTTCAACACTCCAAAAAATACAGAAATGGCAGGGTAATTAACCATAATGAAAGAAACAAAAAACAATGCAAAGTGGCCTGTGTTGCGTTGCAGCAACCAGTGTAGCATGCTTGGGTGGAAAGACCAATGGCTGGCATAGCACTTTGACCATGCCAATTTTGAGGGGGACATTTGTTGTGCGCAGCAAACGAACCTATAAAGTCCATCGAAGCATGGCAACTCTTTGGAAAAGATGGTTTTGACAGTACAGCAGACATAGCAAGCTGGAAATATGTTCTTGCACAACGGCCGGCGGTGCACGGCCACGGCTCGTGACACGCACCCATGTCTCCCCTTGCGTGACAGACGGATGCCGCCAGCGCCTCTTACGGCGCGATGGCGAGCCTTTTGATGAGCGACAAGTGCGCAAGTATTGCAGCATGTTCTGGTGGAACGGCCGACGCTGGCCTGTCCACACTTTGGATACGCTTCCATGACGTTGCTTGCATAGAGAACTTGTGCTGACAGCGCCTCGTACGGCGCAACGGCAAGTCCGATGTGGAGTGGCAGTTTGGACAGCGCAGCAGTTGCAGCAAACACTACAGCATGTCCTTGTGCAGTGGCCGGTGACTGACTGGCCTACATTTGGGACACGCATCGTTTGCTTGCTTGGTCGATAAAGCGGGCCGCCAGCGCCTCGCACGGCGCAATGGCCAGTATGCAGAGTTGCAATTTTGACAGCGCAGCAGGTGCAGCAAGCATTGCAGCATGTTCCTGCAGCATGTTCCGGTGATTCACTGGCCCACACTTGTTACCCGCATCATGTGATTGCTTGTTCGGCACAGAGGGCCGCCAGCGCCTTGCATGACGCAATGGCGAGCCACGGCCCGGCGGATGCCGGAGCGCAGATGCGGGAACCTGTGGTTCTAATTCTTTGTTAACCTGCTCCACATGAACCACCATCATCATCAAAGGATGAACATCGCGACAACTTCGGCCCAAATGTCTCCCCTTAAAAACTAAGGGAAACCATTTGGTCCTCAAAATGTTGCTTAAATGGGTAAGATCCGAACCTCAGCTCCCGAACCACGCGAACCACGCGCCATACGCGCCCTACGCGCCCTACGCGCCCTACGCGCCCGGAGGTCGGGTCCTTGCCGCTCTGCACCAGCTCCTCACCCTTCAGGATGAGCTCTTTGAGCTTCGGGTCGCGGGTGGCCTCGCATCCCATTTCCGCTCGAGCTTCGGTCATTCCTTCGGTCCCTTGGTTAGAACCAACTGGTAGCTCAATCCTTGGAACCCACTGGGAACTCGATGTCAGGTTTCAATCTGAAACTCGAGAAAACACAGAAAGCTCCTTTCAAAAGTGGATTGAAAAAAGCAGAAACTCAAACTTGACACTGGTGGCGTCCTTGTTTCTTTCCAAACCTAAACCTAACACATCTTCAGGAGGAATGGGGAACTCCCTTTGCCTCTTACATAGGGGATTCCCTTATGTAAGGAGAAACCAAGAGGCAAACACCATTTCGTTTTTTAGGTCTTCGTATGACAAAAGCCACCCGTTGAAGCATGTCTTGCGGGGTATCACTTGCAGGCTTTCCTTCTCTTCAAAAGACAGCCTCAAAATGTGTGGATGCCTTTCGCTCCAAGCCTGGCTGCAATTCGCCACGTGGCCTTCTCTAAGCATAAGATGGGACTCCTGGCCCTCTCAAATTTGGGAACCAGACTTGAGACCTTTTTGCCGTGTGCTGCACTCTCAGGTGGTGATTGGAAGGTTGCGTCCGGTTCTCGGCAAGGCTCCACCCACTGCCAGTTCCAGCGTCTGCAGCATCGTGCTCTGATTCCCGGATTTTGGGAGATAGCGCACGCTGATTCTCGGCAGGACACTCCATGACTTCCATGTGGGTAATGGTCAACATTAAACCACCAGGAATTGGACCGCGGGTTTTGTCCATGTTTCCATTTACCAGGGCAATCCATGTTGGGTACATATTTTTGACAACCACAGCCATGTTGCGCTGCTACATCCCGCCTCACCAACATCGGCCATCGCCTCCGCGGCCTGCACGAATTGGACCGAGCAAATGTTTCGACGACCCGGAAGCAACGCTAGCTGATGCCTGGCCACGTGATTGTTTCATGGAGCCTGGGGATAGAAATACGGAGCTGTCAAAAAGGTGTGGTGCAAACGCCCATGGCCTCATTAGCAGATTGCCAGATGTCTCGACTAGAGCATGGCATGCGTTGTGCCTCCCCTGCTTGTGGAAAAGACACATGTCAATTGAAGGACATAAACACCCTTGCTTGTACGAAAACACCATCATTGCTCCAAATGTCAGCACTTGCCTGAGCAGGACACGCTGGATGGGAACAAACAACGGGGTGAGAGGTCCTATTCCATTGTCAAACAAGGCTGGGGTATGCCATGTCAAAGACGCGGGCATAGCCAGGGCTCAACAACATCTCTTGCTGACAGGTGGCTGGGTCAACCCGGATCCCAAAAAAGAAAGGCAAAGAAAGGAACTAAGAGGTGCCAATAAGATCAAATCACAATTAACATCCATACTTCCATCTGGTGAAGGCCCCAAGAAGAAATACACATATTTGCCGGTAGTGATTTCCTTCCTTTCAAGACCAACAAGGGTCTTGAAATAAATATTCTTAGGCAAATGGAGGTATACAATGACATACACTATGAACATGAGATTGTGCGGGCGGAAAGCCCGGGGCCCAGAGTCTTTCTTCTGAGGGTAGCACATGGGCGCGACAGAACTGCTCTGGTTTCTCCAAAAGGGAGATCAACATGAAACCGTCTTCAGTCTTCAAACCTTCCCAGCAACTTGTTAGCTCTCAATAGGGAATTAATGTTGGGAGAATGACCTTGTCCCTGCAAAGGAAACTACAAGGAATGGCTCTTAGGGGGGTCACTCCTTCATTCCCTACTGTTCCAGGGTTGTCAGGCAAGAGGGAACCCAAAAAATGACACCTAAAAGGAATCTCAGCCACCAATTGGCCATTCGAGGCTAGAGGCCTTGGTCCCCAGATCTCGGGGCCCCCGGGAGGAGGGGGGGGTTGGCAGCCATAGGATCTTGGCTGCCCTGCAGAGCCCATGGACCGCTCCTCAGTCGGGCCCCGCTGGTGCCAGGGGCGATGGAGGTCCTGATGACTTCACCCAGAAAATGATCCACGGCTAGGATAGATTCCCGTGCTGCACATCACTCGCGTGCCCAGGTCGAGTACCAAGAACACAGCGTGTGTTGAAGAAGGTAAAACAGGCTGCGCTTGTCTGTTGTGTTCAGGATAATCGGAAAGGTGGCCAACAAACATCCCAAACACCCCGAGGATGATTTCCGCTCGCTGCTTTTCAGCCTCAGTTGATCAGTGGTGAAGTCTGTTTGATCTCATGCCGGCCATGGTGTCCTTCCCCATCTGGGAAGCGACCTCCGCCTTGAGTGATTTAAGGAATGTCCAACTCACATGTCTTTAGGATTTGGACCCTCCAAAGCGGTTCTCCTTTTGGGCTCCCTTTGAAACCACTCCAAACCGGGGTGCCTCAGAAAAAGACACCGCCATGTTTTTTTTCACAAACGGACATGGATTGAGCCGGAGCAAAGCAGTACAGGCCATCTTTTGAAGAATGATGCTAGCGCCACCTGATGCGTGTACGCAACGCTCACTGTGTGGCCACATTCTTATCACCAGAAGAGATGTTGATCCCTTAAAGCTACCGCAGCGTTGCCCAATTCGCCTGCGTGAACGCTTCGACGCTGCAACGGACCGGCTGCGGAGAGTGGAGATCTTCAAGCAGAGCTGGGGCACCCAGCGCGATGTCTTCTTCTGGCCCTGCGAATGCATCACCCGCCGAGGGGAAGCCAAGATGTCACAAGATAGACCAGTGGACCGCCAATGGATCACTGATCTCTTCATGTCTATCAAGTCCCATCTGCTGTCAAAACCTCTGAACTGCCAGGCCCAAACTCTCGATGCCTCAGGATGATGGTGAAGTGAACACGGCCAGGCCGAGTGACTCACCGAGCAATTCTAAACTGGTGACCCATCCCCAAGCCCTTCCACACTGGACGAGCTAACTCCGCTATACTGATGTGACCGAAGTTGTTCTCCATGCGTTGCTGCTGCATAAAATACGGCTTCTGGACTTGGGGCCGATCTGGCAGCCGAAATCAGAATGAGGCAAAGACATGCCAAGTAGCTTCTGCAATAGCCTCGCCTGGTGCTTTGATGTGCTTTGTAAGTATTGTAAGAGTGTACTGAGAGCACACAGCAGTCAGCTTTATTTCCCAGACCTGGCGACTTCTCCTTTCCCAACACCACGTCCATCCAGTGGGTTGCACAACACAAAGTGCTCCAAGTTAAACGAGCACTTGCAGCATTAGGGTGCCAGATCTTTCACAAAGCGCACAAACCACAGCGATTGGTGAAGTCGTCGACAGCTCCATGTGATCTTCAAGGGAAGACCAGAAGTTTGCCGCATGCCCTTTGGCTGGCGCGACCCCTTTTTCATGGCGAACTCTGAAATGGGCTCCGAAATCAGAGGCTACAGAAACCAGGCCCTCCAGTCGAGAGGCTAGAATAAGGGTAGCCTTTTTATCTCTACTCTATTTTAGGGGAACCCTCCCCCAAAACTGTTGGTAGGGCACTACTGGGGGGACCTAGGAAAGCTCCTTGGCCGGAACTCCGTGGTTTGTTTGGGTGGAACCCGTCACTCCCCGCAATCCCTCCGCTCCCAGCGCCTGCTCCGTGAGCGCCTCCGCTCCGGCGGCGGCGGCGGTGGGCCCGGCTGCGGGCCAGGGGGCCCGGGTCCCGGAAGGCCCGGGGGGCCTGGCGCGGCGAAAGCATCCGACTCGTGACTTGGCAAACTGAGCCACGCGGAGTGCACTGAAAAAGCATCCGCATCCAAGTTCGTCTCTGATTTGTTTTTTGGGGGGGAACCCCTTCTTGGCTGGTCTTGAAAGGGAAACCGAAAGGACAACCCGCCGATTTCGGGGGGTCCAACTCCTCTCTTCGAGCCCACTGCCTGGAACTGGAGGCCCAAAGCCCGGCGGGGGCGGGCCTATCGATCGGCAAAGTGAGGCACCAGTGGCAAAAACTGCCCCAATTAGCAGCTTCCCAGAGGCTGGGGCTGTCTGAAACTTCAGATGCGAGAATTGTGGAACACTTAGTAGGTGAACATTGTCTGTTTTCAGATGCCAGAATGGTCGAACACCTTAAAAAGGGTTAACCTTCGGACACCCAGCCACTCAACCAACGTAAGATCTAAATCACCTCAGCCGGATCGGGAACCACCCAGAAAGCCTCCGGCTTGGCCTTCGGAGCCCACGCGAAGCTTCCGGCCTCGCCAGCCCCAAGGCATTGGAGGTCCTGGCGGTTGCCTGACGCGAGTGGATGACCGATTGAAACAGGAGTGGCGAAGGTCAGACAGCGAACCAGGGGTGCCTGTTTTCCGAGGGAAGAGGACGTGGGTTTATCGAAATGGCCATGGTACCTATCTTGCTTTTTGTGCTCTTCTTGCAGGTCATCCTGATGATGAGGACATTCCCCCTTTGACATGGGGAAAGGGCGGCGAAGCAGCACATGGTCACGATACCCGATTCTTCTCCAAGCAAACAGAGTTTGTTTAAACCAAACATCGGCATGGAGTGCATGGTGGTTCTTGAGTTGGACCTGGTCCAACATGCAGTGTGCACCTGGAAGCGATCAAGTGCATGGAAGTTAAATACTGTATCTTAGGCAAACATAAAGACGCACCTCCATGGTTGCCGTTTGCTTCTGTGCATTGACACTTGGGAAATCTAAGCGAATCTCTTATCCTTGTTCTCTAACCGCTCCACGGAATTGTCGCTCCAAGCAAAGCGGCCATACAGAACATGGGAAGTTAAAAGGATGGCCCGGGGTTCCACAAGGTGCTATAGTAGATCAACCTTGAAGCAAAGATGCAGACAATACTTCTGGATGTGTGAAATTTGTCCGATATGTTTCTCCGTCCAGAGACCATATTTCGTCAGGTGTTTAGAATGGATTTCCGGACAATTCCATCATGAAAGCAACCAAGGTCTGCACCTGTTGCACTTCCAGTGCTGCCTTACGAGGGCATCTTTGCTTTTGCCAGCCTCTCTGGACATTATGCCAATGTGGCTGTGGGTCAAAACCAATGGTACCATTTTGGGGTAGGTGCACCACCCGTTGTAGTCTATTTTGGTGGAGATTGGGATGTTCACTGGGGGTACGATTTGGACTTTGACCCATAGCCAAGTCTCGCAATCCACAAACTACTCCTGGCGGAGATCTGAGGATTGTCGGCTGGCTCGCTGAAGCTTACGAAGCTCAGGAAAGGCAAGCTTTGCGAGGGCATGCGCATCCCATAACCAAAGTGCAGGGCAGGAGGGCATGCACACAGAAAGTGTGGGTCCCCCCATCTACCATGTCCTCGCAGAACTCCTAGCTCCGAAAGGCTCCCGCAAAAGAAATTTGAAAATAGGCTCCGTCATGGCTCTCTTCCAACCAGCTGAGCCACGAGGTGCCAAGAACTTCTGACCAAAACCACTCCATGGCCGCATCTCCCTTGCGTCATGCACCCCAAAGTCCGAATAAACTCCTCTGCGTCCGGCCAAAAGAAAAGAAGCAACATACCGCAATAGTTAAACCCGTTTGGGAGCTTCCCAACATGCTGGACCACGTGTTGGTCGGTCTTTAAAGGGAAAAAGGAAGCATGCCATTGTAGGGACACTCCCCCTGAAATGAGCCATTCCGGCTGCTTGTGCATTTCATCCCAGAAATAAGGGACTCTCTTTCGCGACCAGCCAAGTTCAACATGGGATCCAAAAAAATGGTCAGGTTCTCTCTGTAGGCTCAAAGAGCCATCAAACCCCATAAATTTCTGCCAAGATGCGCCCCATATGGGTCCCGGTAACCATATGGGCCAGCAGCCCAGTAAGGCGGCCGCCTCAGCAAGGAATGCTTTCACTGGAGCCTGAGACAACAACCCAGTTCCACTTCGAGATGCCAAGTCACAAAGTTGATTTGGAACCCAACTCCGAACTTCCAAGCTGTGAGCTTCTCAACTTCCAACTTAGCCTGAACCCAACTCTAAGGGGTGCGTCTTCTACTCACCGGAGCCGGGTCACTCGGGTCCAGCCCAACGGCCCAGGATCAGGTCGTTTCGGCGGCTTCAGATTTCGTCGGAGAGAGGTAAACGTTTGATTCGTCGCCGGCCTCCGATCCGAACATGGGGAGGTCCAGGTTTAGGGTTTAGGGTTTAGGGTTTAGGGTTTTGGGTTTTTTTGTTTTGGGAGGCTTGGACGAAATGGTCCAAAGATGGGACCGGCTCGAGGTCTTGGAGCTTTTGGAGTTGGTGGGGCCGGAAGCCAAGCTTTGGAAACCGCATTCTGAGGGCTCCAATGAAATCCCAAAGACGTGCCAATTCCAACGCGATGTCCCTTTGTTCCTTTTCAGCCCGACAAGCCCCGAAGTCATTCACTCCGTAAACTCTTGGTCGCCTCCCGTGCACATGGATGGACCCTTGGGTGTGGACTCGTTTCCAGACGTTCGGGTCCATTTCTCTGGTAGGTTCCACCAGGGGTTCCATGGCAACCCCAGGGACTCCCAACTTTTTGGAGACGAAACCAGAACATCCTCAGCCGCGCGCAGTGCCCCCGGAGCCAGCGACCAGCTTTGCGTCGGCGTGGACCAAGCAGGACGAGGCTGGCCAGTTTCTTTCGGTGCCCTTAAGGAACTCCCCAAAAAAAAGGGCGCAAAAGGGGGAAAGAAAGAAAAACGGAAGCAAAGAGGAACCCACTTTCCCCCTTTCAGAGGAACCCTTTTTAAAGGAAACAACTATTAAAACCCACTTTGATTTTTCCATGGGTTTTGGGCGTGTCCATTTGTTTAGGGTGCCCTTATCTTAGCGGAAACCAACCAACAAATCGAATGCTTTAGACAGGGGTCCCCTACTGTTTTTAAGACATGCTCATTTGTGGCAGGGGACTGGACATGATAAGTACTGGATTTAGTTTTCTCCGCCACCCGTAAGACAATTGATATTGGGAAGGAACAGACACGTGGATGGATGATCCTGCCGGGCAAAAGGCTTTGTTCCGGGCGCGTTGCAAAAAAATCATGGATGGATTGATGGTCCATGGGAGATGGAGGATTCATGGATCTCCCACTCTTCGCGGGGGTTTTGCGTTGCGTGGCTGTCCCTCAGCCAGCCTCTGGGAGGCGGCTGCTGCTGCTTCCCCCATTGGCTTCCTGGCACGGGGCCTCATGCGACTCTGGGCTTGAAGCTTGCAGGTGTTGGTCCAAGACCTGCAAGCTTCAAGCCCAGAGTCGCATGAAGGACTCCAGGATTCGAGTTTTGGTTTGCACGCCGCGGCGTGCAATGACACCTCCACCCCTCCCTTTTTGTGGCGCGCTTTCTCACGGCAACGCCGCAAATCGCGGCGGGAGCTCCCGCATCTCTTCCATCTTCTCGAGGCGGCGATCGTAGAAGGCCTCGGGGGAAGCATCCGTGGTACTTTGATGCGGCGGCGGCGGCGCAACAGCAGGCCCCAGTGTGCCGCAGCAAGTGCCAGCGGTTGCAGTACAAGCAGTAGCAATAGCACTGGCAGTAACAGTGATAGAAGTAGCAGCTGTCGTAGCAGAAAGAAAAACTCCCGGAAAAATGGCTGCCTCCTAGCTGAAATGGCACTAGCGAGGCCGGCTCCTTACCTGGGCTGTCCTGAGACCCCTGCTAAAAGTTTAACTTTTAGTCGGCTAGATGGAAACTACCACTAAACCCGAAAAAGCTAAAAAGCTTGGGGGGTGGCTGGGAAGCACCAAGTTACTTTTTGACTACTTGCCTCTGCCTCGGTCTTTCGCGATCGAGGCGACCCCCCCCGGCTCCTGCATAGCCGCAGAGAGTGCCGCGTGCAAGCCCTGGCCGGCGAAAAGAACCCCCAGCCCTGGCCGAGCTCCATCAGCTAAGAGGATTTGCCGCTGGGATGCAGATGAGAATGTTCGGACCGCATTGTCTTGCTTGAGGCAACCGCAAGTGGACGTCCAACTTCACCTCCCTTTTGGAAAACAAATGCGTGGAATTGCTCTACATGAATCAAACACAAGGCACAAGTCCCCAGCTAAGCAACTGCACAACCGGAAATTTTGACCCCATGTTAATAATCCCCATGTTACTAATCGGGGGGGGGGGGGCTCTCCGGGTGAAATGTGGGGAATCAGAGCGCTTTTAAAGGGGGTTTCCCCATTAATAAACTGGTTGGGTGATCCATATGGCCATGGGTCAAAAGCCTATAAATACCCCCAGTGAACATCCCAGATCCATCGCGACAAATCCGCCACATCCATCGAGCGCCTGCAGCTGCTTCGCAGTGCAGGTGGCCACAAAGTGGACCTGCGATCGGATTCTCGGTTGCTTTCTGCTTCGCTAAAAGTTTAACTTTTAGTGGTTTAATGGAAAACCCATTGGTTGGCAAAAGCTGAAGTCAAAACATCCAAGCAACATGCACCAAGGATTGGAGGAGCGAGGGAGCAGGGAGGACGCCACGGCCTATCCGCCGGGCTGTGAAAAATCCAGCGCTGGAGCCAGGGCTGTGGGAAATGGAATCCACTTCTGTGATACAACAACAACAACAAAGGCTTCACAAAAACGAACCCCCCATAAGGGGGAGATTCCTTGTACAGACGTGAGGATGAACCCCTTCACAAGCCTGGCGCTTTGTGAAGGGAACCAACGGCTTGGAACCTGCCAGTGTCCAATGCCGCCCACTGGCTCCAACAGAGCAGGCCTCGCACATGCACATGTTTTTGGGTTCAGGTGATTGGCGCGGGGCGATGTCCTCAAGAAGCCAAAAACGTTTAACATCGGGCATTCGGCTTCACCATGGCACCGCTTCAGATTCCGATTCGTGGCCGGCCTGCTTTCCCTGCAAGGCAGGGGCGGACGGGTCCTTGGGCGGCCAAAGCCGACTCCTTGGCGAGCAGAAAATGCAAGAGCTACGCTGCTGACAATTGAGGAGACCTGTTGTTGGATCAGCTCCAAAGGGCTGTGGGTCAAAAGTAGGGTAACCCCAAAACGGAACCCTGGTATATAATCCCTTCTCCCTATTAATAAATACCCCCCCCCCCTATTATAAATAAATCCCCAAAAAAATGTATATATTTTTTAATTGGGTTTTTTGGGGTTGGGTTTTTTCTGCTTTTCCGACAATGTGAGGGTTCACATAGGATTTGGAGGAAATGGATTGAATTGTAAGCTCCGCGAGGAAGCGGTTTAATAAGGAAATTTGATGTATCATTCTATTTGTTTTTCAGTTTACTGGTTGTTTGTTTGCAGCCAGGCAGGTTAATTAGCCAGCATGTAATTACCGAGTCAAGAACAACCTTTTGGGGAACCCACCAAAAGAACCCAACCTTTTGAGAAGCCAGCTTTTGGGGAAGCAACCTTTTGGGGAATTGAGGAACCCACCTTTTGAAAAGTGAGGCTGGAAGCTTGCTAAAAGTGCCCCCTAGTAAGGATTCCAAGACTTTTGTGTTGGTTTAGTATTGGCGCAATGGAAAATCAAATGTGTGGAGTGGAAATCTGGTCTCGGGCCCCGGATTTGCATTTATTATTAATGGGGGTCATTCAGTAATAGGGGGAGGAGATTAAATAGAACCAATGTCCAAAACCTGCGGTCCCCTGGTTTAATTTTGACCCATACCCAAAGGAAGCTACAAGGAAACCAACCGATCGCCGCAGCGTCCGGCATTTTGTTTGACACACAAACACAACATGACACAAACACGCACGGAGCGCCAGGTGAAGCGGATGTGCCGTGCACAGCAGCCACACATGGCTTGACTCCAGCAGCTCGCGGTCAGAGGGTGCTCCAGCTTGGGCATGCCAAGGCAGCCATCCATGACTAGATGGGTCTGTTTCTTTTGAGGGTACCCTTTCTAGGGGGGGTGCTTTAAACCACCAATTTCGGGGTCCGAGTCTGAGTCCAAGTCCTGTTTCGACCCCCAAATCAGCTGAGCAGCTGCATCCATACATCCCGCACCTCGCACTTCTCCAGCAAGTAGGTAAAGACTCCTTGGTTCCAACTAGATTCGATTCGGAACGGCATGTTATCCAAATAGTCGAGAACCCTGAAATTGGCGGCTTCCTTTTGGTTTCAACACCTGAAAAAACCAACCCCAAAAGAAGCATCAAAATAACAGACACACCCACACAGAGCCCCATAAAAGTGCAAAATTCCTGCACATTGGGCCCATCTTCGTCAAGGCAGCGGGCATATTGCCACTGCCTGCTGCCTGCACATGCCAGTATCATGAGGCCATGAAGCACACGAACTCATGATCAAGCTTGGTTGGCCGTTGCAGAAGCCAGTGAGTGAAAAAAAAAGGCAACCAACCAATCCAACCGCCAAGCAGCTGGTAAAGCCCCCTGGACAAAAATAACATTCTCAGTCAATTCCGAGTTTTTTTTTATAGATTCCATCAGTGATAGATTCCACTTAAAACCAACAGGGTTAAACAAACAAATATCAAACAAATGGAAGGCAAAGAAAGTGGGCGTCATCTTTTCAGTCCAGGGCTCGCCCATCATTGCTGGCCAGCGCAGTGTGCAGGTTGGGCCCATAGGCATTGCGCATAGCGCGTTCAGATTCCGACCACCAGGCGATCACGTCCCCCTCCTCGGCGTCCTGTTCAGACCTTGGGCCGCACTCTCAAGTCAACTTGCTGGTGCGATAGGCCGGGAATGAGAAATGGGCGTGGCTCAAAAATTTTTGGACCCGGGGCAAGCCGCAGGTGTTGGGCCTTTTTTTCCCCGCCAAGGGGCCCAAAAGAGGGTACCACTTTTTTGAGCCACGGCCAAATGGAATGATCCTTATTAACCATCCCCTATGGAAACCCTTTAAGACCCCGGGGTCAGTGCCTCATTCCCTACTCCAGGCGGCCTCAAAGCCAAAGCATCATTCATCATGTCCCAACGAATCCTCTTCAATGGGCCCAGGGCCAAACGATCAACATGTCCAAAACAGAAAGCAATTTTATGCGAAGCACACCCGGAGAACCAAATATAACCTGTCCAAAAGCGCCAAATGACCAAAAGAACTTCGAAGAATCACAGGATCCCTCAAGGAAAACCCTGAGAATCAGGGTTCCCTATATTTCCCCCTTCAACATCAGTCCAATGCAAAGGCAACTCAGCAATTGGTGGCCTGCAAGTACAAAAAGTGATGCTTAAATTGGCTTTTCAAGGTGAATGGCAGATGATGTTTGGTTGCTGGTTTGGAGTGGTGGTTTGGATTTGAGAATTGAACCCCTGGTTGTAGAAATGTGGCTGGCAAGCTTCCAAAGCTGAAATACACCCCCTGTTTGAAACCAAAGACTCTCCTTGGTTACCAAAGCGAAACCACCCAAAACTCGAGGAAAACCGAGGGAAACGAAAGGAACCGCCCCCCCAAACCCGAGGAAAACCCTCCGGACACCACACAAAACCCGGGAAAACCCGGGAAAACAGCGGAACGCCCAGGCAAAAAACCCTCCGAAAACCTGAAAAACAAACCCGCAAAACCGGAACCAAACCAAAAAAAAAAAACGACTCAAACCCAACCCCTCAAGGCCCTCCGGAACCCACCGCCCTCCGGGGTCTCTGGGCTTTCGGGCGCCTGCGCCTGGATGCAGCTCTCCGCATGGCGGTGGGAGGCGAAGCGCACGTAGCCCTTGGCGCTGAGCTTCCGGTCCTCGGCGAAACCGCGGCGTCCAAAACCGCTCGGCGTTCGGCGCCCATTTTCCTCGAGCCGATGGGGAGCAAAACACCAAAGAGGTGTCCGGCTGCATGGAGAAACAGAGGAGAAAAAAAACCAGATCCTCGGCATGTCCGGGGAGAAAACACCTGAGGTTCGGGGAATGGGTCAGAAAAAGCCGAGACTTTGGGCTGAGCCTTTGGTGTGGACCATTTTCCTTTGCTCTAGGCAAAAGAAACAGATCCCGCTCAAGATGAGGTGGAAAAGCCACCAAAAAGGAAAATATAGGGACCCCTGTATATGTTGACAGCAAAGACTTGAGGCCTTCACTTCACATGCTGCGCATGTTCGTTTTGAGCGGGCGGCGCCTACCTCCAAGAGTCTTGGTTTGCGCCTACCTATTGACCCCGGTGCCAAGGGGCACGAAACTTGGCAGGCAATTTCCAGCCATTCACTAAACATGGACCTGAGGGCTTCCTGGCTTAGGACATGTTTCTTTCCGGGGACCGGTGCAGCTTCCTTCTGATTGGGAGCGTGGATGCTTAGAGCCTGGAGGGATTTCTGACGTGTGGATGGCTGGTGTCTACATTAGTACCTTTGTCCATGTTAATAAATCTATTGTCGTCAAGATATACTCTTGGTTGCATAAATATGTTCAACGAACTCATATCATTGATGGTAACATGTATGGGGAAAAGACCGAGAAATGTCGGGCTGGGAAGGGGGAACTCAAGGAAACTCACCATTCTTCATGTTGCGGGTTCCCCTATGTTGAGGAAACCATATCGCGATCAGCTTCCCTCAAACGAGGGTTGGAGCCCAGTGGTTGCCCACGTTTGCCATGGGGCTCAAATTCAAATCCACCAACTAGGGGGTGCCAAACACCAAAGGGTTTTGGACCAGGTCAGCTTGCTGGTTCTGAGCTTGCTTGTCCTCGCATGCTAGCATGTCAAAGACTCCCGTCCAAGGGATTTCCATATGGCTTCCCCACATTGGACATGGCTTTCAGCGGATAACAAAGAAACTCATTCGCTCACCTGGGACTTCACATCTGCCAAAAACAGGAAGGGTGCAAATCCCCAGAACGATCCAAGCCACCACTGGGTTTCCTGAACCATCACACCCAGAGGCACAAGTGGGCACACACAAAGCCAACAAACACAGAACAGAAGTGGCACGACACGGAAAGCAGCAACCTCTAGGCAAAGTAGAGGTTTCACGCCTGGGAAAAATGAGAAGCTTACTTGGAAGGACAAGGAGAAACGCTTGGAAGATGTTTCCAGCGGGTTCCGGCGGATGCCGTTAGCCCACAGGCTTTTTGCGGTGAAAACGAAAATCGACAAACGTCCAATGGTGCTGGATGGTCAAACAAGCGCCATGAAAACCTGATTGATTGTTGCCGCTTTGCGCACCACCAGACATAACCTCTGGGCAAATTCACGCATACCTAGACACACAGCTGCAAACTTAACGAACCAATCCCCAACTCGCCCCACGAAAAAGCGACCTAGCCACCATCCCAGATTGCAGAAAAGTTGGGGATTCGAAAAGCATGCATGTACTTCAGTTTGATTAGCGTATAAATGCGCGTTGCTTGTTAAGGCTTGCCTCCAAGCCGACCAGTTGAAGACCAAGGCCCCAAGGCCACTTGACTACTACCCCTAACGAAGGACCCAGTAGCAAGCTCTGTCCACGAAGTAACTTTGCCGCAAGGAAGTGGACCTTTGTTGGGTTTGCTCCGAACGGACAACTTACCAAGATGCATCCAACACCTGTCCCCACTCTTTCCACACACCTGCCCCGAAAGAACCTGTGAAAGGGCCAGTGTTTTTTTCTTGTTTAATAAGCTCAGGTGATATCCCCAACAGAATGCGGTGCTCTTTTTAGTGCTCCCACCACCCTGCAGCCCTTGCAGAACCTCGCGGACCCTCGTAGAACCCTCGTGAAACCCTGGTGGAACCCTGGAACGCTCGTGGAACCTTACCTCAGGGCCGCCCCGGACCACCCCGGATATCTGGGCTGAGACCCCAAAGCTGGTCGACTTTCTTGGTCGACATTTTGTTTATTATATTATGTCCAAATGCTGAATTAAGAATTGGATCTCCAAGTAAAGGACCTTTTTCACAGTGAGCTCGTTATACTCCTTTAAAATACGATCTGTTAATTGGAAGAGCACACTGGGAATTATTTCGCCCTTGTCAGGCAACAAATAACAACTGGGCCCCTCTTGCGACCGGCGGCAGCGTCGCGTAGCAGGGACACCTCCTCAAGAATTGGAGGGCTACAGAAAATGATGCTGTCAGACACACAAGCTAAACTGGGGTGCTACATTCTTGAGTCATTATTTCGACCATTCTTGGGGGTTGTCAAAGTCAGAAGCCGGGGTGGTTCTCCTTTACCCTACCAACTGGAGGGTGACTTTGATTCTGGTAGAATAATGGGGTCAGACAGGGTGCTTACATTCCTGGTGCCACTGCAGAGGAGACCCCTTGTGTTATTCTTACAGGTCATCCTGATGATGAGGACATTCCCCGCACGAAAACAATCCTTTGAAATGGCGAAAAAGTGCGGTGAAGCACAATAGCCTAAGATGTGCTTTGAGGAGTTGATTTCCTTTCCCCGCACTTGGACAGGCATGGAGTAGAAAGTTGTTTTTTTTCCCGGAGAAAAACAAGTCTATGGAAGGCTTGTGAGACTGAATCCAGTTTGGTGCCGATATGCAAGCCCTTCTTTCCAACCACTCATGCCTGGTGTTTCTTTTTGAGGCAAAATACCGATCCACAAACCCCAACCTGGAAGCTTCGGCTGCCATGTCAGCCAGGTTCCCTTTTGCCATGGACACCTAGAATACGATTTAGAGTATATGTTCAGCCCCAAAAAAGACCACACACTTGCAGAGGACGTGACAACACGACCCTTCTCCACCAGAAGGCCTTAAAGAACACCAATAGACTAGCAGGAGGTCCACCCAAACATCGGGCCCTTTTCCACCACAAGATCCCCCCCCAACCCTCCCCCCACGCCCCCAAAAAAGTCTCCTCGATGGTGCCGAAGCCCTCGAGCCACTGCCGCAGCTGCTCCTCCGTGAAGTCCTCCAAGAAATCCGTGGGTGGGGGGGGGTTGTTTGTTTGGGGGGTTTGGGGGGGGGAGGTGGGGGGAGGGGGGTAGGGGGGGGTAAGGGTGGGTAGGGGGTTGGGCAGGGGCGTGGGTGTACTCCAACCCGCTGGGCAATTCGTCCATTTGCCCTTGCGCCCCCTGGAAAAAAGATTGAGAAAATATGTCCGGTGAGAGATTCCCGATAAAAATCGAAGGAAACAAACAAAAAACCAACCGTCATTTCGGCAAATGGAAGGAAATGATCCCGGGCTTCAAAGGGAGCTGCAAGAGCCGCCGGAACTAGGATCATGATCGGCGAAATCCATGCGGTTGGCAGTTGGTCATTCATGCCTGCAGTTTGTCCAAGAGGGCACGCCCGAAAGGACAGCCGCGAACGCTACGGCTTGGCAGAAGATGCTCGATTTTCACCATTTCAAACATGTTTGCCTCGGCTACGCCTTGGCAACAGGGGCAAACATGACTTTATCAAGCCTTGATGGTTCAACCTTCGACCCTCAGTCAGATTTGACCAAAACTGCCACGCAGACTCAGCACATGTAGATCGTTTGCTTGTAGTTCCTTTCTTGTGCAGTTCGTCTGGGAAAAGGGTCACTCTCATGTCATAAGGACGCATTTCTGATCGCCATCTCGGAAACTCTACGGGGCAAGGTAGAGCATCCCCAAAATCGTCCCACTTCCTCGCCAAATTGGAAAACACATCTTATGGGGACTGGCCCTCTGAGTTTACCATTTGGACAAGGTCTTCAAGTCAAAGGGAAACCATCCCACTTTCTGACTTTCATAAAGTCCAAACCATGTCAAACTCAGGGCCTCATCTTATCTCTAAAAAGATCCTTCTTGCAGCATCTTTCGTCCGCCCTGAGCCTGCGCCCCGCACAGAAACATACACCCACTTGGTATCCCCAGCCCGGGAACCCGCGCAGGAACCCTCCCTGAAAGCTGCCCCAAACCACACCTCGCCGATCTGGGCCTATCGACACCCAAAACGCCTTCCAACTGTTATGGGACACCTCCCCCCAAACCACCCCGACCGAGCCTGGGGCCTATCGACCCCATACTCTTAGGGGGAAAATAGATGGCCCTGGTCAAAAGAACAACACCCATCTAAACTAACCTAACACCTAGCCTAAAACCTAACTTAAACCCTAACCTGAAACTAGCTAAAATAACCAAAACTAACCTAATGTGCCTTCTACTTTTACTCAAGCTCACCTAAAAAGGACGCCCATGAAGCCACCTTCAAAAGTGGATCGAATTTCTCGCCTTGATGGGCAAGCCCTTCATGAAGACCTCGCGGTCCTGGCGCAAAACGCGGCTCGAAACCGGGGAACAGGGGCTTCTCAAGCAAAATAAGCCGGTGCTTGGAGTTGAAAAAGTCGCAAGGAAAACCCGTTGCGCCATTTTGTGTGGGTCCATGCTAAAGAAGATCAAACTAGCCACCCAAAGGGGGGTTGGACCCATTCTGGCTTTGGAGGACAAGGAAACCAACCAGAAGAGAACTCGGAGAAACTAGATGGACGAGATCATTGGGGAGCTAGGTGCAACGACCTGCATTGAGCTTGTGCTTTTTGTAGTGGATCGGTGTCGGAGATTTTTTTGTGTGCGGTGCTTGTTTGTAGCGATTTTGGTCCAGCCACGTCTTTACGCGATCTCTAACACCGAAACTTGCTGCCAGTTGGTGCCCTTCCTGCGACACCATCCCGGTGTACAGACTTCTTTCTTTCTGGCAAACAGCACCAATTACAGCTGTTCACTTCAACTCACTCATACCTTCCCTGCTTCCGTCCCTCTCCTCCCTCTCCTCCCTCCCTCCCTTCCCTCCCTTCCCTCCCAATTCCTTTATGTTGTTCCTTCTGCTCATGACATGTTCGTGTATCTTTATTGCTTGCGTTAATATGATTACCACCATTTTTGTAATTTGATCTTTGCTGTTTGTTGTTTGTCGTGTTTCTACTTTGCAACCTCCTTCCTTTGCCATTCTATTCATTGATTCCCTTCTTCCTTTCCTTCCTGCCCTGCTCTCTGCTTTTTTGTTTTTTCCTTTTTCCGCTTCAGAGGTCTCCCTCGCCAGCGATCCAAACGTCTGCCCGCGGCATCTCTCTCTCCCTGTCGCTCCTCGGCCTCCACCTTGATCTCGGGCCTCTTGGGCAACTTCAGCTCATCGAGGAAGATCGTCCGACGCAACGGCCTCTCCCGGCACCGTACGGTATGTCGTTGGGTAACTTGTTCATCTACCTTATGGGTACCTTGTGTAATGATTAGAGGAATCTTGTTCCTTGAACTTCCGGTACCTTTCTCGTTTCCTTCTCATTTGAACTTGGGTGTGTCTCGTTGTAGGGGTACACACACACACCCAAAATGGTAGCGCTTTCCTTTTAGTCCCCTTGGAACCCAACCAAAATTTGGCTCGCCCCAGCCCCTTCAACCAGTTTGGAAACCATTTTTGGGGACCACTTTTTGGGGGTATGAGTTTTGATTGGGGACCCGAAACGGTGGACGGCATTTAGGTGGGAATGTATGCCCACCACTTTTCAAGTGTTGAAAATCATAGCTAACCCCAAGACCCCGACAACGAAAGGATGGCCTTTCGGGGCATGACGAAACATGGACCAACCAGGGAAACCAATGTGATCATGTAGTCTTTGGCAACTGAGTTTCGGACCATATTTCAAGGAAGACATGAAACCAATTTTGAGGATTTCGGGTCAGTGCTGACCTGTGGTTAGCTTCATAGGGCTCTTCTTGGCACAGGAATCTCGTGAACACATGCCACCCCATTGCGACACATAAGCTTCCCTCTAATTGGGTGGTTTCCCCAAACCACCAATCCAAGAAGCAGGGGTTCAAGTCCAAATCCAAACCAAACCAAACCAAACCACCAACCCAAATCACCAAGACAAATCGAATTCCAGCTTCCAAGCCGGCCTGCCACACCGACACTTCCGGTGCAGAGAAAGCTCGGGGGCGTTCTCTCGCAAATCCCCTCTCAGACTCTCGTGGTGGTTCTGCCTTTGGTTCCCTTTCAAACCATCTAGAGCAATCAAGACCTGCAACCCCAGAGTTGCATGCCTGCTGTCGCCCACGTCTCCGAAGAGCTCGCAAGTGACAATGCACTCCTGGATTCGCGCAATGAAAGATATATGAAACACGGAAAGCCCCGCGTTTCGGTAGTCTTTGCCTCCGATACACAGATTTTGCGCATTTTCTGTTTACAGAGCTACCGTCCCGTCGATGTCATGGCCCATGCGTGTCAAAGCGGTTTGATTTCAGCCGCTGGAGGTTGAATCAAAGACCCTCGAAAATACTATTGCACTCTTCCGGCGTGGATTCCACCCCCTTGTCCACTGGCATGGAACCGACCAGAGGGTCCCCTGTCAAAGGAAACTATCAGCCAGGTTCTGCTTGATCTGCTCGGAGAATATACGGAGAATATACAAAGGGTCCCATTTGGGCAAGCCCACGATCCTTGTTCTGTGCAACCATTGACAAAATTCTGCCATGGATGAATACCCTCCCTCTCACTAAGATGGTACTTGATAGGGAAGTGGTCCCTTCTTGAGGAAATTGATCTTCCAGGTACCTCCCATAGAAGGGTAACATCCACCAACAATATGGATTCTCTCATCCATCTCTCGCAGCGTAACCCGAAAGCCGCCTCGATCAACTCCCCGTCGCCCACTTTGGTGTTGTGCAGCTGCTCCACTGCCTGGCGCAAAGCTGTTGGGGCGGCCAGAACCAGAATTTCGTGGAAAACCAGTCAGAGCAGCTTTCCTATGAGACGTCCCTCCGTCCCCCTCCCCCCCCCCAAAGAAAAAATAAAGAGGACTCCAAGGCCGGGGTGGAACTCCCGGAGCGAAGTGGAACAAATGCAAAGGAGTCATAATACCTACCGATGACTACCACACGACACTGCCAACTCGACTTCACCAACCTAGAGCTGAACAACGCCGACTGCGTGAGTCGTAATATAAACCTGCTGCAAATCCTCTGACACCCTCCGGACGAGGGTGTCTTATGTAAGGGGGGGGGGGACCCTGGCAGTTACATTTCCAAGGGGCCCAGGGAGGGGTTTGGCAATACCACGGCGGAAAAGCAATGGAACTCCATTGCTTGTGTCCGCTTGTATCGCAAACAATCCTGATTCTTCAGCATCTCTAGGGAACTGAATTTTTGAGCGGTTCGAAGCCTCCTTTCCAAGATTTTTTCTCGGGTTCCCAACAAACCTTGCAAGGTTGGGCTTTGCCAAGGACCCAAATTTATGATTTCAAGCTGCGTCTTAAAATAGGGCGACCAATTTTTGGGTGGATTGACCGACGCACCCTCGTCGTCGCTTTCACCTTGTCCTGCAGATCCTGCTCCGCCCTCTTCGCGCCATTTTCATTTTATTTTTGCATAAAGATTCAAATTGCGCAAAGGCATTGCTACTCCCCGCTGCTCCGTGGCTGAGCATATGTGCCTGTTCACGTTTCAGTTCATTCATTCAGTTCTTTTGAACAGGATTGAACTCAAATACGAGATACGAACCGGAATAAGGTAAGAACTTGCAATCCGGGTAAGAACCGGAATCCGGGATAAGAACCGGAATCCTCGGTAGGAACTGGAATCCGCGGTGGGAACCGGAGTCCGGGAAAAACCGAAATCCGAATTCGGGGTCGGAACCGGAACCCGGGGTAGGAACCTGAATGAGGGGTAGGAACCGGAATCCGGGGTAGGACGGCGGAAGCCGGGGCGTAGGAACCGAGCCAAATACTAGAATTTGGGTGCGCATTCCGTAAGTAGGCACTGGAAGAATCCAGGCAAGGAACCAATATAGAAACCGCAGTCCGGGGTAAGAACCGGAATCCGGGTAGGAACCTGAATCCGGGATCCGGGGATTCCATGGCAAGCAGGCACCGGAATCCGGGGTAACAGCCGGAATCCGGGGTAGGAACTGGTTGGAGCCGGTAGGAACCGGAGTCCGGGGTAGGCACCGGAATCCGGGGTAGGAACCGGAATCCGGGGTTGGAGCCGGAATCCCGTCCATGGCAAGTAGGCACCGGAATCCGGGTAACAGCCGGAAGGTAGGAAGCAGTTCGAGCCGGTAGGAACCTATCCGGGGTAGGAGCCGGAATCCGGGGTAGGCCCCGGATTCCGAATCGGGGTAGGAACCGGAATCCGGGGTAGGCCCCGGATTCCGAATCCGGGGTAGGAACCGGAATCCGGGGTAGGAACCGGAATCCGGGGTCGGAACCGGAGCAGCGGATCCTGCCGGGGCAGGAACCGGAATGCGGGGCAGGAACTGAGGCCGCAACATGCGCCGCGTTCGCCAGGAGAAGTCTACTCACCATGTCGTAGTTCGGCTGGCCATCCTGACTACACTCTGCACAGCCCGTACTATCAGTACACCCTGCGCGCCTGGTGTGCCGATGTGTTGCGCCTCTTTCTGTCATCAACCATCCGTTGGAGCATTCTATAAGTCATCAATACGTCGTGGACCTGCCAGCTGATTCTACCCGCTCTGAATGAATGCTCACTGCTACTGAGGTTGCCGCGTTGTTCTGTCGAAAAAGCTGGCCCATGTCTGCGCAGACGTCTCCGAGTCCCTCGATGCCGCCGTCGCTATTTGCCTGCAATCAGGCTTGGGTTCATCAGTAGCGCGTGACAAAACGAAGGCTTAGGTCCAGGCCTGCGCTGCTGCTGACTTCCAGTGCAGTACATGCAGCGCACTCCAAAAGGCCGCGGCGTCATCATTATTCTCGCGAACCTTACAGACACGCAAACGATACTGCTGAGATTGCTGCATAGGTCTGCGCCTTCACCATGGAGGAGAGCATTGCTGCGCTCCAGCAGCGCGATCGTGCCGCTGGGCTCGCTGCCTCACAAACCAAACGCTACCACTCAGTGGTTAACTCGAATCTAAGTCAAAAGCATCCTGGTACTTGCCAAACCATATGTTGCCCAAAGGGGATAGCGTGCCACATTGGCTTTCTCGGTGCTGCTAGTGTGTGTGTGTGTGGTGCATGTCGTCGTCTGTCGTGTGCATGGGATGAAGTTAGGAACGCTGATACGTTTCTGTCTAACATGACATGGGCTTGCGACTCCGGCCACCAGCTTGAACCCAGCCCGCCCAAGTGAGACATACATCGGCACCCTTGCGACAACGGGAAACACATGTTTCCTGCGCTCAATGTCTCCTATAAAGCAAATATGGGCAGCCGCGCTCGGCTTCCCCAACGCACGCTTTGCCTGTTGCGCGCTGACCCCATGTTTGCGCCGCCATCCTTCCGCCCAGGCGAGCCGCCTTAGTTGGCGCTGCCGCCTAAATGCATCTAATTCGTCGAGTCACGCTGCAGCTGCACGTGCTCGCGTGTTCCCACTCACTCAGCCCCATCGCCGCTGCTGCCGCTGCCTGCTGCTACTGCTGACACCTTTGCCCGCGACCGCTATGTGTTTCTCGATTTCATACCGAATCTGGTGGCAATTCTTCGAGCATGATTCCCAGCGCATCGCTCTCTCGTGGACGTTTCGTGGACATCCCGACATGAATGATGCGACAGTAACATACTTAATATCTAATATATTAATAGATAATTTGGGGTTGTACGACATGGTGGCGACAAGCTATTCAATCCTGTTTGGTTTCTTGTAGGTGTTTACTCCTTGTCGTTTTGCAGTGTTTTGGCTGTCAACTAACCGTATACAACTCTCCTAGGTTCAGGAGCACAGGTGGCCAGAACTACGGATAGGCATCAACAGCCACTCTTTCAATAGCTGCCTCCCCTCCACGGGCAAACATCTACTAGCTTCGATCGAGCAGTGCGGCAGCCTACAAGTGCCAAGATACGTGTCGGCGCTTTGCCCCGCCGCACCTGCCGCGAGAGGCTGACGCCACCGCGGCGCGCGGCGCCGTCAGCGATGCTGTTCTGCAGGTGCAGGACTAGCTCCAGAGCGCTGCGCAGCACCAAACTCAACATACCGTTAGAGTCCTCAACAAGTTCCCAGAGGCACTCCTTGACCATAGCCACCAAAGCCTCACGCAAGGCGCCGCGCGCCATGCTGCTCAGCCCGCTGGACTATACCCCAAACACTAAACCCCTGACCCTAACCTCCTGAAGTGCAGGAAATGAATGTCGAGTAGAGTTAATCAGAATCCTCATTCTTGAACCCCTGAATCATATTACATGCTGTCAAAACACTATATAATCTTTGTGCGACGTTGTTTGTCTTCGCAGCTCTCTCTCTCAGCTTGAAGTCAGCTCTTTGCATCGAGTGAGCCTCGAATACCACAGGCTCGTGACTGGAACTACAGTTGCGGTTAATGTTATGGAATCCCTCCTTCGGGCCGAATTTGAGGGGTCAGTGGTGGGCTAGCACTCACTGAGAAACTCTCAGAAATCCCAAACAACCCTGAACTCTCAACTACCCACACCCCTTGTACCTAACCTCCCCTTGGGGATTCAATAAGTATGGAAGCAAACCGTTTTTTAGCTGCAGCCCCGTCCTAGCACTGAACAGAACCAGGAAACCTAAACACACAAACACGTTCCAACTACAGTGAAGGAACACACACCAAACTTGGTGGGCATCTTGGTCCAGCTTCTGGGTTTAGGCGCGGAAAAATGTCCTTTCAGATTCGGCTTCATGCTGCAGGAGTCCATAAACATTCAATCACCTTGGAGGAGACCCGCAAAACCTTATAAACCGCCCTAGGACATGGGAATCCTCATCTCGCTGGCGGCGGCAGCGGCGGCGGCCGCCAGACCTGGTGGTTTCATTTTGCCCCATAGCCGTGTCCAAGCCTTGGAATGTTATAGAATCCCTCCTTGGGGCCGAATTTGAGGGGTCGGGTGGGTGGGTGGGGGGGGTAACACTCTCTTAAGAAACTCTCACAAATCCCAAAGAACCCTAAAACTCAACTACCCACCCCCCTTGCACCTAACCTCCCCTTGGGGATTCAATAAGTATGGAAGCAAACCTTTTTTTGTGCTGCAGCCCCGTGCTCAAATGAACAAAACCAAAAACCCTAAAAATACAACCGCGTTCCAGCCACAGTGAAGGAACACACTCCAGATTTAGTGGGCATCTTGGTCCAGCTTCTGGGGTTTAGATGTTTTAGTTGCAGAAAACTGTATTTTCAGACTCGGTTTCATACTGGGCGAACCTGGTGGTTTCATTTTGCCCCACACCCGTGTCCAAGCCTTCGAATGTTATAGAATCCCTCCTTGGGGCCCAATTTGAGAGGTCAGTGGTGGGCTAACACTCACTGAAAAAAAATTAAAAAAATCCGAAAGAACCCTAGGGCTCTCAACTACCCACACCCCTTGTACCTAACCTCCCCTTGGGGATTCAAACAAGTATGGAAGGAAACCGTTCTTGTGCTGCAGCCCCGTACTAAAAATGAACAGAACCAGTAAACCTAACAAACACAAACGCGTTACACACACCAGACTTAGTGGGCATCTTGGTCCAGTTTCTGAGTTTCAGGGTTCTGGCCACCGAAACTATATATGTTCAACTTCAATTTCATTCTGGGCAAACCCATACGCACTCAATCATGTTGGAGGAGACCCGCAACACCTTATCAAACACCCCAGGACATAGGAATCCTCATCTCGCTGGCGGCGGTGGCGGCGGCGGCCGCCAGACCTGGTGGTTTCATTTTGCCCCATACCCGTGTCCAAGCCTTGGACTCTTATGGAATCCCTCCTTCGGGCCGAATTTGAGGGG